CGACATTCTCATTATGTATGTGCAGGTCCACCATGACCTTTTCAGTTGTATAACTGTGCATCCTCCGTTCTCAGGGACAGGTTACCCTTGCCCTTGGATTAGTAGACTACATAATTGGTTTAGCAGCTTTCATGCCTTCTCTAGGAGCTGCATTAAGGGATATGCTAGGCTTCCTAACCCGGCTGTTCTCTGGGATTTCCCTTCGTTTTTAGATGTTTTGGTGGATAATCTTGAAATGAGGAACAGTAATTGTTTTCCCTGGAGGCCTCCATAACCTCCCCAAGGTATAGCAGTCATTAGGATTATTCAGTTATTAATTGTACTTGTACCTCTGGAACCTATTGAGGTGCATGGTAGGCAAGGAATTTTAAGGCCTCATGTACATGGGCAGAAAGCTGCTTTTACAGCCATTTTTCATTTCTCTTTTATGCCTCTGAGTGGAGCTGTATTTTAATCAAGGTGTCCAGGCATGTTTTGGCCTTTTAGGTTCGTATTTTAGAGCAGTGTTGAAGAGTATAAAGAAATGCTCCAAACCTGTGTTCAGAGAGGAGCTTATTGGAGTAATTTCTACACATATACCAATTCACAAAAAGAACATTGGGGAACTGGAGAAAGTACAGAGAAGGGCAACCAAACTGACAAGAGGCATGGAGGAGCTCAGCTATGAGGAAAGATTAGAGGAACTGAATTCTCTCTTGAGAAAAGGCGAGTAAGGGTTGATATCAACATGTATAAATACATCAGTGGTTCATATAGTGAACTCTGTGTAGAGTTATTCACCCTGAGGTCATCACAGAGGACAAGGGGGCACTCTTTACATCTGGAGGGAAAGAAATTTAATCTCCAAACAGGGAAAGGTTTCTTCACAGTGAGAGCTGTGAAAATGTGGAATAGACTCCCTCAAGAGTTGGTTTTGGCCAGCTCAGTGGATTGCTTTATAAAAGGCCTGGATTCGTTCTTGGATACACAGAATATAACTGGATACTAACATTTATAGGTAAAGTTGATCCAGGGAATATCTGATTGCCTCTCGGAGGATCAGGAAGGAATTATTTTCCCTGCAGGTGCAAATTGGATCATGCTTTGCTCGGTTTTTTGCCTTCCTCTGGATCAACTGAGTGTGTAGGATTTTAACTTTTTTTTTTTTCAAATTTTGTTTTAATTGTTGAACTGGATGGACGTTTGTCTTTTTTTTTTTTCAGCCAGACTAACTATGTAACTTGCGTAAATTCATTCTAGTGGCTAGAGTAAATTAATATTCTACCCAGTTGAATGAGTTTATGTACATGTGCTTTTATACACCTAAAAACATATATGTAATAATGTGCCAAAACAAAGATTTTTTTTTTCACTAGATTTTTCTGCCAGTTTCAGGCAGACAGATCCAGAGTATTTTAATACGGCCATGTGCATACAGCCTAAGTCCCTTCTTTCTGTTCCAGCAGATAAGTGGACGTAATCTCTACGGGATTTTGTGGTGGACTCCTGCAAAAACAGTTATTGATGTGTATAATTCTCCATATTTTTGGCAGTCTTACCTTTTTATAAAGGAAGGTTTGTGTTTTCTCGCATAGCTAGGCCTAGTTCACACTAGTGCAACTATAGTTTCATCCGATTTCCAATGCACTAGTGCAACTGCAGTATGACTTGATGTGTTTTTGACACGATTTTATTACTACTGTGATTTCTGGAGGAGAAGGAGAATAGCTGGCGGGTGGGGGTGGGTTGATGCACATCAAAATGCATGAAGATGTTAATAGCCACACCCTATCACGGTTTGTTCTTTTATGTTCAGTATGGATTTTGAGGTGCTCATTCTCTCTAAACACTTTCTTTCGGGGATGGTTACTCTCCAAAGAATGGTTATTAGGTGTACCCTCATTGTGCTTACAATTCATTGTTATTTGTCCTGATGACTTTTTTATTTATTTTTTTATTTTTATTTTTTTTGCTGGATGTGGTCCTGTATGTTACTCTTTGTACAGGAGGAGGTTATAGAAAATGTTCAATATGTTCCTTCTCTATGTATGTCCTTATTGCTTGCAGGTTAGACTTTGATTTGTATATCATTTGATGTACGCTATCTGGCCTAGGGGCATAATTTGTTGACCTGCAATCTACCCTGTATGATTGTCTTGAAAAAATTCTAATAAACAGGGATTACAGAAAAAATTCACGAAAATGCATTTTATTTGCATTTCCATTGATGTCCATGGGGTACATGATTGCACGGTATTGCCCCAAAAGTAACACAGGACCCTTCCCCAAAATCACATCACAGCTGTGTTGCATTGATGTAAACCGGCACCATTGAAATTAATAAGATTTCCATTGTCATGCAATTCTGTGCGACCCATGTAACATCTGAAATCGCCCCAGTGTGAACCAGGCCTTAAAGAATATGTAAACCCAACAATTCATATTCCTGATATGTGCCTGCTGTTCCATGTACTTGTATGAAAAGCATCCTGTTCTCTTTGTATTGCTTCTTGTGTGAAATCCCTGGTGTTCCTACCAGTCCCTCTGCTCTCCTATTAAAAACTGACCACACTAGGCATGAGAGCACAGCCAGTTCTCTAGCTGTGCTGGGAACTCAGTGTGCTCCATTTCAATGATCAGACTTGTGCTGACACTCCCTTCCTGAACAGCCATTTACTGGAAAGATCAGTGTGCTGCTGTTTCTCCTCCCCTATTTCTTATGCAGCTGAGAACAGAGGGAATGTGATCACTTAAAAAAATGGGAAAAAAAGCTATTCATATATATATATATATATATATATATATATATATATATATATATATATATATATATTTTTTTTTTTTTATCTATACACAAATGTTTTGCCTATAATTTATATTGTAAAGAGAATGGGTTGTTTTACAAGGGTTTACATTTGCACACATGTGTTCTTTGCAATAAATGGATTCTAGAACTAGGTAAAAAAAAATCATATAAGCTGGGTATACAGTGGATATAAAAAGTCTACACACCCCTGTTAAAATGTTTCTGTGATGTAAAAAAAACGAGATCGAGATAAATAATTTCAGAAGTTTTTCCACCTTTTAATGTGACCTATATACTGTACAACTCAATTGAAAAACAAACTGAAATCGTTTAGGTAGGGGGAGAGTAAACATAAAAAACTAAAATAATGTGGTTGCATAAGTGTGCACACCCTCTTATAACTGGGGATGTAGCTGTGTGCAGAATTAAGCAATCACACCTGCCATCATTTAAAGTGCCTCTGATTAAGCCCAAATAAAGTTCAGCTGTTCTAGTAGGTCTTTCCTGACATTTTCTTAGTCGAATCCTACAGCAAAAGCCATGGTCCGCAGAGAGCTTCCAAAGCATCAGAGGGATCTCATTGTTAAAAGGTATCCATCAGGAGAAGGGTACAAAAGAATTTCCAAGGCATTAGATATACCATGGAACACAGTGAAGACAGTCCTCATCAAGTGGGAAAATATGGCACAACAGTGACATTACCAAGGACTGGACGTCCCTCCAAAATTGATGAAAACTGGTCTGGGAGGCTGCCAAGAGACCTACAGCAACATTAAAGGAGTTGCAAAAATATCTGGCAAGTACTGGCTGTGTGGTACATGTGACAATCTCCTGTATTCTTCATATGTCTGGACTATGGGGTACAGTGGTAAGACGAAAGCCTTTTCTTATGAAGAAAAACATGCAAGCCTGGCTAAATTTTGCAAAAACACATCTGAAGTCTCCCAAAAGCATGTGGGAAAATGTGTGTCATGGTCTGAGGAAACCAATGTTGAACTTTTTGGCCATAGTTCCAAAAGATATGTTGCAAAAACAACACTGCACATCACCCAAAGAACACCATAGCCACAGTGAAGCATGGTGGGTGGCAGCATCATACTTTGCGGATGTTTTTCTTCAGCTGGAACTGGGGCCTTAGTCAAGGTAGAGGGAATTATGAACAGTTCCAAATACCGGTCAATATTGGCACAAAACCTTCAGGCTTCTGCTAGAAAGCTGAACATGAAGAGGAACTTCATCTTTCAGCATGACAACGACCCAAAGCATACATCCAAATCAACAAAGGAATGGCTTCACAAGAAGAAAATTAGAGTTTTGGAATGGCCCAGCCAGAGCCCAGACCCGAATCCAATTGAAAATCTGTGGTGTGATCTGAAGATGGCTGTGCACAGGAGATGCCCTCACAATCTGACAGATTTGGAGTGTGTTTGCAAGGAAGAGTTGGCAAATATTGCCAAGTCAAGATGTGCCATTCTGATAGACTCATACCCAAAAAGACTGAGTGCTGGAATCACACCAAAAGGTGCTTCAACAAAGTATTTGTTTAAGGGTGTGCACAGTTATGCAACCATTTTATTTTAGTTTTTTATTTTTACTTCCCTCCACCTAAAAAAAAGATTCAGTTTGTTGTTCAACTGCGTTTTACAGTTTATAGGTTACATTAAAGGTGGAAAAAGTTCTGAAATGATTTATCTTTGTCTCATTTTTACATCACAGAAACCTGACATTTTAACAGGGGTGTGTAGACTTTTTATATCCACTGTAAATAAGATCCCTATCACACTTGAGCATTGGCGATCTGATGCAGAATCATCACGATTCTGCCTGCGATCCCTAAATGCTCTGCACAAATAACAAATTGTCATTTCTGCAGAGCGTTTTGGGATCATGGGCAGAATCGCATCGATTCTGCCTGAGTTTGTAAACTCTCAGTTGTAAATGGATCCTAAATAAATGACTGGAGAGTAAACACCGCAGGTCCCCAGGGATGCAGGTAAGGACAAGTAGGACATTTCGCATGATGTTCATCTCAAACAGTCTTTCAGTATGGATGAAGTGCTAAGTTCCATGACTTGTATCAAACAGTCAGATTTTTCTTCTTGAACTAAAATCACAGGAAGGTGTTGTGTGTTAATGTACATTGCTGTTAATCTTCTGAGATAACAATAAAACTACAAATTTTGTCTAATGTGTTACCCTGTGATTTTCTTTTTAGAAATTGAAGAAAAAGGGGTTCGGATGAAACTGACAGTCATAGACACTCCTGGATTTGGGGACCACATTAATAATGAAAACTGGTAAGTCAACCATTTCTTAACCAGTTCCCTTCCGCCCTATAGCAGAACTACTGCCACAGGGCGGCAGGGCTGCGCAAAATCGTGTGTGTATATATACGCCATTGGTGGCTACAGCTGTCGATCAACAGGAGAGGTTTGTGTGTAAACAATAGAGATCTCTCCCCTGTCAGCACCAGCATGCTTCTTTGTATTGCTCTGCATAGCATAAACCTGTCTATATAAGGTCCCACAGTTAACAGTGCATGTCAGAGCACAAACCAAGCCATGACATCCAAGGAATTGTCCGTAGACCTCCGAGACAGGATTGTATCAAGGCACAGATCTGGGGAAGGGTACAGAAAAATTTTTGCAGCATTGAAAGTCACAATGAGCACAGTGGCCTCCTCTGTAGATGGAAGAAGTTTGGAACCACCAGGAATCTTCCTAGAGTGGGCCGCCCGGCCAAAATGAGCGATCAAGGGAGAGGAGAGGGCCTTAGCCAGGGAGGTAACCAAGAACCCTATGGTCACTCTGAAAGAGCTCCAGCATTTCTCTGTGGAGAGAGGAGAACCTTCCAGAAGAACAGCCATCTCTGCAGCACTCCACCAATCAGGCCTGTATGGCAGAGTGGCTAGACGGAAGCCACTCTTCAGTAAAAGGCACATGGCAGCCCGCCTGGAGTTTGCCAAAAGGCAACTGAGGGACTCTCAGACCATGAGAAACATAACTCTCTGGTCTGATGAAACAAAGATTGAACTCTTTGGCCTGAATGCCAAGCATCAAGTCTGGAGGACACCAGGCACCACTCACCACCTGGCCAATACCTTCCCTACAGTGAAGCATGGTGTTGGCAGGATCATGTTGTGGGGATGTTTTTCAGTGGCAGGAACTGGGAGACTAGTCAGGATCGAAGGAAAGCTGAATGCAGCAATGTACAGAGACATCCTTGATGAAAACCTGTTCCAGAGCGCTCTGGACCTTAGACTGGGGGCAACGGTTCATCTTTCAACAGGACAACGAGCCTAAGCACACAGCTCACATAACAAAGGAGTGACTACAGGGCAACTCTGTGAATGTCCTGGAGTGGCCCAGCCAGAGCCCAGACTTGAACCCGAATGAACATCTCTGGAGAAATTTGAAAATGGCTGTGCACCGACACTCCCCATCCAACCTGATGGAGCTTGAGAGGTACTGCAAAGAAGAATGGGAGAAATTGCCCAAAAATAGGTGTGCCAAGCTTGTAGCATCATACTCAAAAAGAATTGAGGCTGTAATTCAGTGGTTCTCAACCTTTCTAATGCCGCGACCCCTTAATACAGTTCCTCATGTTGTGGTGACCCCCAACCATAAAATTGGGGGTCACCACAACATGAGGAACTGTATTATTGCTGGTGATTGGCCGCCTGTGTGCCTCTCCTGAGCTACAGTGCCGGCGGCCAATCACAGGCGAGGATTGATCTCGAGGTGTGTCCAGATGACAGGGGCGGCATGTCATCCCGCCCTCACCTGGAGACGGCGGCGGCGGCGGCGAGGAGCGGTGTCTCGGTTCCTAAGACCATCGGAAATATGTGTTTTCCGATGGTCTTAGGCGACCCCTGTGGAAGCGTCGTTCGACCCCCAAAGGGGTCGCGACCCCCATTGAGAACCGCTGCTGTAATTGGTGCTAATGGTGCTTCAACAAAGTATTGAGCATTTTTAATAAATTGCAAAGATTTCAAAATTAACTTCTTTCACATTGTCATTATGGGGAATTGTTTGTAGAATGTTGAGAAAAAAAATTAATTTAATCCATTTTGGAAAAAGAATGTAACATAACAAAATGTGGCAAAAGTTAAGCGCTGTGAATACTTTCTGGATGCACTGTAAGTATAAATCTGTTTTGTTTTTTAAAAAATGCATTTACAGTAACTTTAATGGCTTGTATATATGATTCCTATAATAACCGTTTGATTATCACTATAGCTGGATGCCCATTATGAAGTTCATTAATGACCAGTATGAGAAGTACCTTCAGGAAGAGGTGAACATAAACCGTAAGAAGAGAATTCCAGACTCCAGAGTCCACTGCTGTATATACTTTATTCCGGCCACAGGACACTCGTAAGTGACATTTTGGAAATGTATAGTATTTTTGTATATTTTTTTTATTATACTCCAGGAAAAAAAGCTCAGTTGTGCTAATAAATCTCATGAAATGCATCTATTTGTACCACATTACCTTCGAGGCGTGTAGCCCTGCTTTCTTGCAGCATGGAGGCACAGGTGCAGTATCCAGCGACAAGTGGCGGCAGCCCGTCAGTCTATGATTTGCTGAAATACGCTGTAGCTGCAGGCTGTACCAAGTACAACTTGCATTTAGGGCCCTATGCATTCAGGGACATATGCATATAATGCAGAATACCTTCAACATATTTCAGCCTGTTCTAGACTTTGACAGGCTACAGGCAGCGGTACTGGATGACCCGTGCCTCCCGGACACACCCAAAACGCTAGAATTGGATGTACTGGGGCTAGATGCCTAGTGTGCATGTGGCCTTTAGCAGTATTAAACTCAAAAGCAAACATGGATTATAGTTTACCAATTCTTACATGTGATGACTACATTAGATTTCTTTTTTTAGATTTTCACCTGGTGATATGGCCAGTAAATCTGCAGTCTTTCAACGGGACAAGCTGTCCTGCAGATGTAGTAGTTGAAGGGTTGAAACAAACCATTTAACCCTGACAGGTGTTTTATTTATGTAAAACCTTTAAATGAACAAACCTGTTGCTGTAATTGCTTATAAAGTGTTAGCTTTGACATCAATTTGTTAGTCTATTTAAATCTGCTAGCCCATCTAACGCTCCCTCCCCCCCATATTAACAATTCTGCTGTCCAAAGGTGCCCCCTGTGCTCCTTCATCCTAAGCTGGGGCATTCTAATATAGGGGGTGTGTGACTAATCAGATCAACAAGTGAAAGCAGAGGGCAGAAAGCCTAAAAAAAAGACAACTAATGCAGCCACCACATCTAATGATTGGTAAGCTGCAATATAATAATTTTTTTTGTTTCGGGTGTTATACCGCTTTAAGCCCCCATTCACACTATCTTGCGCGACATCAGGCGTTGGGAGTATGTGTTTTTTTTTTTTTTTTTTTTTTTTTTTAAACATGATTGTACTTCACCCATCGGGCAGCTCAGGGACGGACTGACAACTCTTGGGGCCCCCGAGCAATAGAGGATCATGGGGCCCCTGTGTCCTCGCCCACACTCAAACCACACCCACAAAAGCCTATGAAAGGTACCAGGAGCATCTCATGGGGCCCCCTACTGACCCTGGGCCCTCGGGCAGTGCCCGAGTGCCCCGAATGGTTAGTCCGCCCCTGGGGCAGCTTATTATTATAATTATTATTATACAGGATTTATATAGCGCCAACAGTTTGCTCAGCGCTTTACAATATAACGGGAGACAATACAGCGACAATACAGTTCAATACAAGAGGGTTAGGAGGGCCCTGCTTCCTTGGAGCTTACAATCTAGGAGATTATTCATTTCAGTGGGCTGCGCTAAGCACGACGCTTAAATGTCGCAAAGAGGCTAATGCACCTTTTTTAAGCTTTTTTTAACCATGCGTTGAAGATAGAAGCTGATTGGTTGCTTTGTACAGCTGCTCCAGCTTCTGTGTGCTCCAGTTTGAATAGATTCCCACTGTTCATGTGTTTGCCTATTAAAACATTGAAGAAAAAAAACAGTAAGAGGTTTAATTTATGCCGCTAGGCATTCAACCGCTTCCTGCTGGTTGTCTCAGTGGCTAGGCTTTAACGCCAAGTAGCTGCATATACAGTGGGGCAAAAAAGTATTTAGTCAGCCAACAATTGTGCAAGTTCTCCCACTTAAAAAGATGAGAAAGGCCTATAATTGGCATCATAGGTAGACCTCAACTATGAGAGACAAAATGAGAAAAAAAAATCCAGACAATCACATTGGCTGATTTGGAAAGAATTTATTTGCGAATTATGGTGGAAAATAAGTATTTGGTCACCTACAAACAAGCAAGATTTCTGGCTCTCACAGACCTGTACCTTCTTCTTTAAGAGGCTCCTCTGTCCTGCACTCATTACCTGTATCAATGGCACCTGTTTGAACTTGTTATCAGTATAAAAGACACCTGTCCACAACCTCAAACAGTCACACTCCAAACTCCACTATGGTGAAGACCAAAGAGCTGTCGAAGGACACCAGAAACAAAATTGTAGACCTGCACCAGGCTGGGAAGACTGAATCTGCAATAGGCAAGCAGCTTGGTGTGAACAAATCAACTGTGGGAGCAATAATTAGAAAATGGAAGACATACAAGACCACTGATAATCTCCCTCGATCTGGGGCTCCACACAAGATCTCACCCCTTGGGGTTCAAAATGATCACAAGAAAGGTGAGCAAAAATCCCAGGACCACGCAAGGGGGACCTAGTGAATGACCTGCAGAGAGCTGGGACCAACGCAACAAAGGCTACCATCAGTAACACACTACGCCGCCAGGGACTCAGATCCTGCAGTGCCAGACGTGTCCCCCTGCTTAAGCCAGTACATGTCCGAGCCCGTCTGAAGTTTGCTAGAGAGCATTTGGATGATCCAGAAGATGATTGGGAGAATGTCATATGGTCAGATGAAACCAAAATAGAACTGTTTGGTAGAAACACAACTCGAATGCTGAGTTGGATCCAAAGAACACCATACCTACTGTGAAGCATGGGGGTGGCAACATCATGCTTTGGGGCTGTTTCTCCGCAAAGGGACCAGGACGACTGATCCATGTACAGGACAGAATGAATGGGGCCATGTATCGTGAGATTTTGAGTGCAAACCTCCTTCCATCAGCAAGGGCATTGAAGATAAAACGTGGCTGGGTCTTCCAACATGACAATGATCCCAAACATACCGCCCGGGCAACAAAGGAGTGGCTTCGTAAAAAGAAGCATTTCAAGGTCCTGGAGTGGCCTAGCCAGTCTCCAGATCTCAACCCCATAGAAAACCTTTGGAGGGAGTTGAAAGTCCGTGTTGCCCAGCGACAGCCCCAAAACATCACTGTTCTAGAGGAGATCTGCATGGAGGAATGGGCCAACATACCAGCAACAGTGTGTGCCAACCTTGTGAAGACTTACAGGAAACGTCTGACCTCTGTCATTGCCAACAAAGGATATATAACAAAGTATTGAGATGAACTTTTGATATTGACCAAATACTTATTTTCCACCATAATTTGCAAATAAATTCTTTCCAAATCAGCCGATGTGATTGTCTGGATTTTTTTTCTCATTTTGTCTCTCATAGTTGAGGTCTACCTATGATGCTAATTACAGGCCTCTCTCATCTTTTTAAGTGGGAGAACTTGCACAATTGGTGGCTGACTAAATACTTTTTTGCCCCACTGTATATATATATATATAAGCAAACTGTATACTATGATGAGAATGCACTTATTGCTCGCTCCCAGCACAGTAACTGAAAAATCACAGATAAATACTTGGAGCTTTCCGATCATGTGCTAGCCAGTCACAGCAGTCACATGATCAGAATAGAGAAAAACAGAAAGAGGGCGCACCGGCCTAGTGCATTATCTTAAAAAAAAAAATATTTATTGAATGATAAAAGTAGGTATTGTACTCACAAAATGACAATACAGTCAAAGGTACATCGTATAAGAACAGCTCGGCCCGATCCGCACTACGTGTGCGTCCGTAATGGGAACTCTGGACCTCCAGCAGTTTGATGCGTTTCGAGGACTTGCCTCTTTCTCAGAGCCCTGGCTCTGAGGAAAAGGCAAGTTCTCGCAACACGGCAGCCTGCTGGAGGTCCAGAGTTTTTTAGACCCCTTTCACACAGGCGGTTAGATTTCAGCCTTTAACTGCGGTTAGAGGAACTTTCTTTACGGCAGCTAAATGCAGACAATGCATCCCTATGGCTCCTTTCACACACTGCGTTTAGCAACGCTTTCATAATATACGGTTTTATGTGTTTAGGGAAAATTAAAGTTGATGGCGTCCAGGAACAATGCTATCTGTACATAAATGCAGTTAATCGCAGTACAAAAAAAAAAAAAAAAAAGTAAACAGTTGCTATAGAAAAGGCAAGAATTTACTACCGCAGCTAAACACAGCTGCATATAAATGAACGTAGTGGCAGATAAACGCAATGTACAAACACAAGTGATCTCTGTGCCAGGAGTGTTGGAATTTCAAAGTAAAAAACCTGCATTTAGAAGCGGCAGAACAACCGGCCGTGTGAAAGAGGCCTTAAAGGGGCAGGAGGTAGCGGCACGAAGCTGTAAACATTCACTAACTCTGAGCCATTAGGCTAGGTTCACATCTGTGCGGGTGGTGCCGCTGCGGATCCACACAAAAATCTGTGCAGCCGCACCACCCGCACAGAGGACTGCGGACCCGCGGGCAGGTGCCATAACTTCTAATGGCATGCCGCCTACACTGGAAAACGCAACAGTACTGGGAACTGAGGTTCCCGTGCGGGCTGCATTTTCCAAAGAAGTGCAGGGACTTCTTCCCTGCGTGTCACAGGGCATGGGAGTCCATTCAAAGGAATGGGCTCTCGTGCCTGCCAAAACGCGGCCCGCACGGCCACATATATGTGAACCAGGGCTTAAAGGACATGTGAGTAACAATTTGGGGAAAGTGCCTATGGAACCAATATCACATAAAAATAAATCTACATATCTAATATATCAAACAGATATATTAGGAAGAGCTGCTAACTAACCCCTATAAACCAGGGTAATTAATCTGAACCACAAAAAAGCAGCACTCTTCAAAAATAATATATCTCTATATATTATTTAGATGAGTGAACACAAGCAATAATATAATGTGAAAAATTCCTATAACAAATATGGCAAATAAATCGATAAAGATCATTGAAAAAAATCATTGAAAAAATATATGAACCAGTGTCCATCAAAAAACGATTAATAACATAAAAAAGTGTCCAAAAAATTAATAAATATTCTTTAACTGCTTATATAATGTGAAAAAAAAAAACGTGAAATCCACCACGAAATGAATGTGATTCACTCACCAGAGCTCCATGCTGGTAAGAAATCAACCAGCTATACTCGCAGAGCAGCTATATTGCTCTGGGAGCAACGATCTGCAGCAACA